CGACGCATTCTTGTAGTACTTATTTTCTTAAGAAACATGTTCTTAAGAAAATAAGTACTACAAGAATGCGTCGATGAAGGTTAGACATCCAGGTAATACGATGTGCCAAAAAGCAGTTACTCAAGCAACTGGATATGATTTTGGAAACGTCAGACATTTCAGCTAGTATCCAGTAGATTTCGTCAGTGACTGAAGAATGATTTGACTGTTTTTCTGACACATTGTGTTGTTTGTATTGTCCCCATGTACAGGTGAATGATCACTGTGTAGAGATCCCAAACTTCCCCCCTGCAGTGCGGGGGGTCCTGTGGGAGCAGTGGACATTTGATAAGGTGAGCTCAGACAATCTACATTAAAGGCAGTTAATGCAGGGTTACCTAGCAAAACAAAATAATAAGAGAAGTAACATTTGCAAAGCAAAATTGCGTAATGTTTACCTTCGGACATGGTCTGCCCTGTTAGTTTTTACTCAAACACATTCACATAACGTTACATGTACAATGTACTACGAGTATATATATATATATATATGGTGACAGGAGCAGAGCAAACCATGAAATGGCAACATTATGTAACCCAACACCAGTCACCATGGTGACAGACGTCAACAAATCATGTCATTGGCCAGGTCAGAGGTTAGTGTTTGGAACAGAAGAGGAAGAAGAAACTGAGTAAAAATATATATTTTCCTTCGGTAAACATAAATATTCTGTATGCTGAGGAAATCAGACATTTACTATAATTTTTCTTACTAATAGCACATTTTTGTCATCATTTCAAACTTGAAGCTTTTGAAATAGCCCAAAACAAGCTACATGAGGCACTATTTTTGGGTACCACCCATAAATAACTAGCCTACAATACAAAACAAGCTATCATTTTCCCTCAGTGACATCACATTTTTGCCTCACAGGTAAACTTGAGTACATTGCACTGAGTTATTTACAGTGTGTTATCTGCTCAGATAAGCTCAAATATGACGTAACTTTTAAGCTATATATAAGGAACACAAGTTTATTGTTTGGCTCTTGTATAATTATTAAGTTGCTGTCATTTCTGTCTCCTTTGCAGTGGGTTTTTGTGGTGTATGACGAGGAAAAACTCTACACCTATGCTTACAGCAGAGCCTCAATCAAAGGTAAATTAAATATGTCCAATCTTTATTCTGACAGTTGCTTGCAATGATATCATTATTGCCATTTGATGAAACAATTATTGTCTCTGTCATTAACGATGGAAAGTGATGATGTGAAATATACAGTTTTGTATTTTACTTAATAATATGTCATACCCAACAACATGTCTATCAAATTGAATGCCAAATGTACAAAAAGTTGTGTCTTCTGAAACATGTCTATCAAATTGAATGCAAAATGTGCAAAAATTTGTGTCTTCTTATTGGAATTTTGCATGCAGCTCAGGCAAAACATAATCAAATTATTCTATGGAACATTTGAAAGCCCGTGTGATAACCAAGTAGAACCGCTAGTTACCACATGGTAACCCGTATTGAACGTTATGTCGTACCTGGGCCATGATTACGTTCGATACGGGTGTTCCGGCCCGTGTGATAACTAGCAGTACGGCCGGGGGTTCTTAACACGCACGGCCCGGTCCTTCCAAATGTTCCATAGAACGATTCAAACACATTTTGCCCTAACCGCGTGCACCGCCTTCGAAATTCGAGTACAAAATTCGGACGTTGGAATTGATGTTGTTGCATTTTTTGGGTTAAGGGACACCAAATTTTTGCTCATTTCGCATTGAAAGGCATGTTTTAAGTACTTATTGGTGCTCTGACCCGATCACAGCATATTGTACTGACTGTATGATGTTTGTTAATAAATAGCTGTCAGCTTCAGTTCTTTGGAGAAGCCAGCTGAAATTCGTACGTACTCTAGAGTAACAAAGTTAGTCACATACTGCAAACATGGTACCACAGGGCACTGCTTAAAGCACTATTTGTCAGCACCAAGTAAAACTGGTAACTCTTTTACACTCTCATCTAACAGAAGCTATGACCTCCAGGCCAAAAGGTCTGGACCCGTTGGACTAGGTCAGTTAGTGACGCTTGAACCCCACTGCTACACACTTAAGCCTCGGTCACAACCCGCCGTACATGCTTTTTGTCCGTACCTTTTTTGGGAGGCCACGTCTGCTACAGTTTTTCTGAAAACGTGGGGAAGGAGTGACGTCAATGCACGTTACTCACACGGTTGCGCAAGGTGTAAGAGTGTGGTCTGCGCCCCACGTCTTGCCGCAAGCGGTTGCGTGCATCGTACGTTGCGCAAGTGGTGAGTTGTACGTGCTTACAATGCACAATCTCTGTGCGATTGCAACTTTACCGTAAGGAGGTCGTACTCACACGTGCGTCTTATGTACGGTACGTTCGGGGCACACGTGTCGCCCGTACTTGTACGCACGGGTGGTGAATCTGCAGACCGCACGTCGAAAAAATTTTAAATGCACTTAAAGTTCTACGGCGTGTCTGCGTGGATGCCCTACGTTTGCCCACGTTTTTGCACATAGACAGCACGCAGAAGCACGTACGGCGGGTTGTGACCGACCGAGGCTTTCTGTAGTGAGATTGTACACGATGTCAAGCAGGTAAATTAAATATTATATATAAGGCCACACCAATGTGATTTGTTGGTTCACGGATTTTGACAGGGAAAAATAAAAAATAAAAACAGGCCTAGGCATCCTATGGTAGCCCCAAATGTTCTGATAATAAGAATCATGAATTTAACATACCAGGCTGGTTTGTAATTTAAACAATGAATTTCAAACTTTTGATCAAACCACTGCATTGATAGATAGAAGAACTGTACTTGTCTAGTAACAGTTGTAACAACTCTGTATTTTGGAGTTGATTTAGAGGCTGAAGTGTTTGTTTGTTTTTTTTGCAAATCAGAAAAAAAAATGAAGCAGGAGAAACCTAGAATTAACAAATTGAATTGGTGTGGCCTAATCAATAATTATTATAACCGGTGCAATAGCTCAGTTGGTAGAGTGCTCACTTTGTAACCGGGAGGTCGTGAGTTCAAACCCCGGCTGGGTTATACCAATGACTTAAAATGGTACACACTTCTTTCTCTTAGAAGCTTAGCACTCAGCACATATGAGAAAGAGTGTGGGAAGGTCAAACACACAGCACTACCAGTGGACTAGCCCCCTGCTGTAGTGCTTGCACAACTGTGTGTTGCCCAAGGGCTACAGAAATGGAGATGGGCACCACCCTACACTCTGCATAAGAGCACAGGAGACCTTTCTTTTCTTTTTCTTCTTTTTCTTAATCATGCTGTTTCCCCTTCAGGTCCTGCTGTGTCCTTTGCTGGCACCACCAAGCTGCCCTATGGACAGCTGCCTATCCTGCTGTACAACGGTGAGGTGACGTGTCAGACACAGGGTGGCCGTATCACATCCTTCATGCTGGACACTCACAGTTTCCACAACATCGAAAGACTGCAGGAGCAGCCACCATCGGAGGTATGATGCAGAGCCAGGGCTCAAAATACATTGTACATAAATAATATATTGCCCAAGTTTTTTAGAAATGCGTACATTTTGAAAGTTTACATCTGTCCTTAAATTAGTACAACAGAAGATTATTTCAAATGACATAAGATTTGATTTTTTGGACTCCCTGTTCAAGTCTGCTTGGGACATGATACTTTTGATTGCTGTATAACCCTCTCAGCTTTCGTCCTTTCCCTATTATCTGCCTTCAACTACTTATCAGCCCCTGCTTGTGTCAAGATGTTCACGATACCTCCATGTCCACTCTCAGCTGCCACCATAAGTGGAGTACTTCCCGTGTTATCTGCCTTGTTCAAGGCTGCCCCTGCTTCTGTTAAGATTATCACGGTCTCTGTATGTCCGCTCTGAGCAGCAACAAAGAGTGGAGTCCTTCCTGTGATTGCCTGGTTCAAGTCTGCCCCTGCTTGTATCAAGTCGCTCACCATCTCGGCATTACCACCCTCAGCTGCCGTGCACAATGGAGTGCTGCTAGAACTTATATAAGAACGATTACATGTACTATAACTGACTTGGCTTGGATCGGCCCCATTGTTCAGAAGTAGTTTCACAGTCTTGTTGCAGCCTCTTGTACAGGCAGACATCAGTAAGGTTTGACCATATCTATCAGTCACATCATTGATCTTCGCTCCTCCACTAATCAAAGTCTCAAAAACATGTACACAATCATGCCAGGTTGTACTGCTGTTGCGCTCTTCACACTGCATGATTTTTTCAGCTGACAAACAGAGTGGGCTGTAACCAGATGTACCAATTTCTTTATTTACATCAGTGCCTTCTTCAATAAGGGTTGTTTGTAATTGTGCATCAGCATTTTCGATGGCTATCCAGAGGGGGTTTTGTTGATAGTTCTCCGCCCTAGTGACTTCAGCGTGCTGCAGAAGAACTTTGCAGACTTGTCTGTGTCTACCTGCATACACAAGTGGGGATGAGCCGTGTTTGTCAACCTTACTTGTGTCTGCCCCTTCCTGCAGCAGAAGTGAAACGATGTTAGGATGTCCGCCCTTCACTGCATCCCAGAGTGGAGTTTCTCCCTCGGAGTTCTCTGTGTTCACCTGTACACCTGCCTGTAGCAGGGTCTTCACCTTGTCTTCATCACCTGTCCAGGCTGTTATCCTTAACAGCGGATCTCCCCAGGTGGTAGTCTCATCTGTTTGATCACTAAGGAAGACATCCATAGCTTCATCCACAATCTCTGCTACCTTTTCTTCAAGCTGCTCAGTTGACTGGGTAGCCACTTGTAAGGGGCTGTGGAAGCCAATTTTCTCAAACTCTTCATGTAAGTCAGCTGCCAGCTTGCCACTCTCAAGGTACTCATTAAATGCACTGGTACATTCATCAGTCTCTGGAAAGATTTGCACATAGATTGAAGATGGAAATGATTCCGCAGTTTCAATACCTTGACAATGTCTACTGAAAAGGTCAGCAATGATGTTCCTACACAGGTCTTCATTTGCATCATAGAGTTGAGAAAGGTTCTCCATAAGTCCTTCCCTTTCAGTTTCTTCAATCTTAAGATAGAAGCATGTCTTAAGGGCTTGCTTTGCGAGCTGCATGCTCTTAAGAGCATTTTGAGCTAGTTTTAAGCCTCTTGAAAGATCTTGGACCATACCTTCCCATGATAGTGACAGGGCCTTGACAGCTTTCTTCAGTCTCTCATCTGTGGCATATTTCTTTGGCTTTGGACAAGAAACTCCAATAAAAGTGTTTTGTTTGAACAGCGGAGCAGAGCCATCTTCTTGACATGGATACAACTTGTCCACAATGTCTTGTCTTCTAATGTTCTTCAAAGCAGCCAGTAATCTCTCCACTGTTGCCCCCCTTCCTTGCCGCTGCCTCCACTTCACCAGCGTAGAATGGCCTTGCCAGACCAGCTCTTTTTCTTTCTCAATTTGCTGTACATCCACCTCAGATAGTCCTAAATAACCAGCCAAGATCTTCCAGTCTTTACCGAGTTCCATTTGTACAATCTTCATGACTTCATCCAACTCTGTTTCTGCATTTTCTCCCGCTGCCATCTTGCTGTAGCAAAAATGTTTCCACCTCCGAGTTGTTTGTCCTGTGGTTGCCACAACTGTTAACCATGGGTTAAAGATTGACGTTTAAAGCTTTTTTTAATTGCCTCAAATCACCGTAAGTACAAAAGCCAAGGTGTAACATGCAAAAACAGGTCACTCACAAACCAGCCAGATTGATTGATTGTGTTTGAATCTAAGTACAACAGATGCAAAATTGAATGATTTAAAAATAGATGGAAAATAGAAACTTTAAGCATAATGTGGACTGTGCACAGCATTACATTGTTAAATGATTATTAAATTAAATAACCTTTCATAATGTTGACGCACCAGGAGTTCAACTTGGCAGTATTGTTGTGATTGGATACAGATTGTTATCTGTTGTCAAGTGTTCAGAACTGCTGCTAAACAAACTAAGGCCTGTGCAGGTTTGAAGCATTGTGCCAATTGATAATTATAATCCTTTTATGCCAACCCTGAAACTGTCTAAAAGACAGTTTTAGGGAGGTTTCTTGATAATATAGAACTTTTGCACATGGTAAATTTATTCATCTGGTTTAAGTGTCCCCTGCATGACAAGTTTTACATGTAGCTTGGAGGGTCATAAATTAAATGTAAATTCCAAGAAAAACACAATAGGCCTTTTCTACAGTCCCTCCTACATTTGTACCTCCAAGGACATTACATTGTGTTACAGAAATGTCGTTGATACCTCGGTCAAAACATGAAAATACATTGTATTTAACCAATATACTGATTCATTTTGTTGCAGTGTGGACTCTCCAAATTGGATATTAGATTTTCTCCCTAGACATGCCCCAATGTTGTGGTCTTCAAAAGGTGACTTAACACAGAGTTCCACACTTCACTAATGTACAGGTGCAGCTTTAGTTAGAGATGTCCCCTGGATAGGATGTTACAAAATGTACATGTACCTCATTAATGGAGGTCCTGTGCTTGAGGAGAGTCACACCTTGAGCATGTTTAGAAAGCCCCTACAGATTAGAGGCCATTCCCAGTGTGATGTGAATGAAAAAAAAAAAACACTGCAGTTTAAATGGGGTAGAGAATGTTCCATTATATAGCAGTTTGTAGCCTTGGCTTGTGTTTTGTATCTGTTAGTAACAGTACTAGTGACAGTCCAGAATACAAGCTCTTGTACAAACTATTTCCTAATCTACTAATCTGATTTGGTTCTTCCTAATGCTGACTTGATCACACAATAGGAGGTAATTTTACTGATTTACTGTATTAAAACAGAACATCAAAAATGCACTGGTTACAGGGCTGGAAATACTGGGTGCATGTGCACCTTAGTGCACCCAAAATGGGAGCTATGCACCCAATTATTTTCTGTGGGGCACCAGTGCACCCAAATATATTTTTGTAGGTTTACGTAAATCATACTATGTAAAGATGTGTAATAGAATACAGCATATTCTTTACATTTAATTGTCAGAAAAATAATAAAATCATTGTTAGTACTAGTAGTAATTTTCTTTATATTAGTTTTTGCTAACATTATACTGTCTCATTTTATTTTAAAGGTGCACCCAATTCCCAAAAATTAATTTCGAGCCCTGGGTTGAAGAATCCTAGAATTTACCACATGGTGTGGCAATGATTTACAGACTGAGTGTAACTGTGTCTGCATCTTCCCTCAGGTCAAAATGTCTCTGGACCAGTGCCTGAGCCTGAAAAGGTATGTTTATTACATGTTTGATGTCAATATGATTTTTACAGCCAACAGGAGTGCTGAATGTGATATATTTTGAGTCACAAATTGTTTTAGCATCAAAGTTGGAAGTTTGTAGCTGATGTGTTCCACAATACCATATATAGGATTCCAATGATCGATTCAGAATTGTTTTGTGATGGAAAGCAAAGAATCCAGAATCAGGAATAAACCCATGATATCCCTCTCCTAGTATATAGGTGAGGAAGGGTTGGTGGAAAAAGCAGTCCAGTCCGGGTAAAGTGTCTTCAATAGCAGCTATTTGGACTTTCTATCAAAACCAAGCCTAAACCCCATAGGCTGGACTGGTTTTTCTGCCTCCAGACTGGACTGCTTTCTCCACCAACCCGATGAAGAGTAGTAAAACTGAATTATTGTATTTGCCAATTCCTGTAGGTACAAAGAAGCCTGGGGCCTGTGTATGTTCCTGAATGAGCCTGAGAGCTGGAAGAAGCTTGGTCAGACATCACTAGAGGAGCTGGAGTTGGAGTATGCTATCCGTGTGTACAGGGAGCTGGGGGACGCTGGGCTGGTCTGGTCACTGGAGAGGATCAAGGTCAGCTGTTACATGTACATTGTATATCATTCATCTACCAACATCTTAAGGACAATTGTATCTCCAATCTTTTATATCAGAAATGCACGACAACAACAAATTACAAAAATAGTTGAATACAGAATAGTACAGGGACGAGGGATGGCACATCAGCACCAGGGCTGGGGATGGTACAGGATAGTACAGGGTGGGGGATGGCACATCAGCACCAAGACTGGGGATGGTGCAGGATAGTACAGGGTGGAGGAAGGCACATGAGCACCAATGCTGGGGATGGTACAGGATAGTACAGGGTGGGGGATGGCACATCAGCACCAATGCTGGGGATGGTACAGAATAGTACAGGGTGGGGGATGTCACATTATTATTTCCTTATTTGTTCACACATTTTAAGACTTTACGGCTACGTGATGTAAGCAATTGATCAACTTTTTACTATGATTATTACCAACACAGATGAACTTTGATAATATCATTATTTTTTATCATTATATTTAGAACACAGAAGATGAGAACCTGCTTGCCGGCCATGTGGCCATGTTCCTGGAGGACTTCAACACTGCCCAGGAGCTGTACCTGGCCTCCAGTACTCCTGTCGCTGCACTGGATGTACGTTCTACACTACTGTCTTATTACCTTCGCCAAGAAGGTTATGTTTTCAGGGGCGTTCGTGTATGTGTGTGTTTGTGTGTGTGTCTGTCTGTAAACACGATAACTTGAGAAGGCCTTGATGGATTGTCTTGATACTTGGTAGGTGGGTAGGTCTTGATGAGACCTCAAAATGATTAGATTTTGGACCCCCTAGCGGCTTATTATGGTACTGCAGCTGAACTTCCGGTTTTGATATCTCATGATCTAGACATGCTATGGTGATGAAATTTAGATGGTAGGTAGCTCTTGTGCTGGGAAAGAAGTGACGTGAGTTTAGGCCCCCTAGCGGCTTGCTCTGGAACTGCAGGGATAAATTCTTGAAAATATTCAAAAGGGGATAACTCAAGAACCGGTTGACGGATCGCTGTGATTTTTGGTATGTAGGTAGCTTATGTGATGCTTAATATAATGATGTGACAATTATGCAAATATGGACGTAATTTGCATAATTTATGGGGAAATTCTATAAATCAGCTGCATTCCATGATAGGACAATTGAAGCTTGTGACATTGGTAATTGACAACGAGAGAAACACAGGAAGATATTGATTATGTTAATAATGACTTAATTTGCATAATTAATGAGAAAATTTTATAATTATGTAATGATAACTGCCTGGAATTCCATACTTGTGGTATTTGAAAGTTAAATTGAGGTGAACATCATTAAATATAATTTATTCAAATCAGGACCTCATTTGCATAATTTATTAGGAAATGCTGAATGCATTCTTTGTTAATATAAGACTGTCTTTTGGTTGAGATTATGATAAAATGATATAATTCATGAAAATTAGGTTCCTATTTCTTAAATCAGGGGGGAATAATCTAATCTAAACTTTGTCAGTCATAAAGATTAACATCATTTGGCGAAGGTATGAGATCGGGGAACTCTAGTTATCATTGAAATATACATGTACAGAATTCTGGAGTACGGAATACAGAATAACAGAGATTATAACATGATCCATTTTGGCTTTATTTTCTCCAAAAAGATCTACAGTTTTAGCTTCATCATTTAGGAGCAATATAAGTATGGACAAAACTGGGCAACTTCTTATACCAGGTAAAGTTTACTATTAATATTGAAAGTAACATGATAAACAACTGTTACGGAGGTTACAGTGACTGTCATAAATGCATTTTCTTCAGCAAATGACAGCGAACACTCCTTGTTTGTTCCCTTAGAAACCTAGAAGAAAACTGTCATCAAAAATGTCATCAAAATGGTATTTTCTTGTCTTATAATGTAGACTCCACAACTGTCTTTACTTGTCGATGAGCACAGAAATCTGCAGTAACGGAGGTTCCAGAACTCTTTGAACCTGCGGCTATATTTTCTTTCAAGTCATGAACCAAACCTAGTGTTTTGTACATTTTTTGTGAAACATAGTAAGTGTAGTGGGAATTCAAGTGAAGAAAGCAATCATGATGATTTTGAACTTAAAAATCAACATAAATTATTATAAGATGATTCAATGGTCCAAGTTAAAGTTCATTGTTCAAAGGACAAGTTATACACAGTAGGCCAATTTCTTCTTCTTTGGACCCTTGGCCCCATGTGGAGCAAACGCAAACGCAGAATCTGAATCTGTTATTTTATTTGCAAATCAGTAAACAACGAAGTGGGCAAGTCCGAGAACCAATAATTAAATTGGTGTAGCCTGATTGGAGTATTCATTACTGTATTTTGTTCTATTCCATAAGTACGAGTACAGAAATTTGATTGGTCTGATACATATACATTGTACATGTAACCGTGTGTTGCCCCTCTGCATCTTGTCCAATCAGATGAGGCGAGACTTGCTGCATTGGGACCAGGCTCTCCAGCTGGCCAAGCGGCTGGCTCCTGACCAGATCCCCTACATCTCTAAGGAGTATGCCCAGCAGCTGGAGTTCACGTGAGCAGACAGATTCTTCAGGCCGGCCCGGGGCTCTAGCCAGCACTCGTTTTCCTGTCAGTTACCGCATCTTAAGTTTGCAGCATGTGACAGAAAAATTTTAAATCCATCATCCTTGACTAGTGCTGTGTACCTAAACCCACATTTAGGTTCAGGTCCGGATTAAAGTCCAGAGGTTTAGGTTCAGTTCTGGACCTAAACCCATGAAATATACAAAACTGCATGTTGGCAACTTTGCAATCATGTTGTTTGGACAAAACTTTGGCCATATAACATGGAAGCCGGTACTTGACGATGCCCAATGGCAATGTTTTCTTCATTTTGCAGCACAGATTTTACAATCTATGGAAGGTTTTAGGTGGTTTGGAAAAAATAGGGGTATGTGACAAAGTTTTGAGCTGGCTAGAGCCCTGGTCTGGCCAATAGTGCTGTTTGGAGAAAGCAAGAGACCTAAACTTGCAATGACAACCTACACTTTACTTTGTTTTCATTCATCATCTTCCAATTATTCGATATGAACAGACTTGTGCATGTGGCATACATTTTAGGTTACAGTAACACTCTTAAGCCAAGTACCTAGTTTGTCATGTTGTCTGTTTGATAAGAATTTGTCTGGAATAGGGGTGGGTACTGGTTCAGCCGGACCGGTTTAAACCGGAACGACGTTCGGGAACCGAGTCCAAAAAACTGATACACGAAAACAGGATCATCGGATCTGATGTACATTTCTGTAGATTGTACATACATCTTTAGATAGTCTGCCCATGACAGGTAAAGAAAATAACCCTGAATCAAACTAGATTGGCCTTAATCCATGTTTGTCTCTCTCTGTAACTGTGTTTGGCTTCAATATACAAAACTGTACAACTTGAAAATAATACACATTGTATATAACACACTAGTGAGTGCCTGTACTCATGTTTCACACTCCAAAATATGATATAATAGTACTACTGTACAATAATCAGGTCCAGGTTTAGGTCCGGACCTGGACTTGATCCTCTGAACCTGATCTGGACCTGGACCTGAATACCCACCCTTAGTCTGGAATGATTTTAATAGATACTAAATATTAAGAGATTTATAACAGAACTATTTATCACTGATGGTTCTTCAGATGCATGAATTTAATGTACACACAATGTACATGTACTAGAATCTATAAGAGAATTTGCTGCAGGTGATAGCAGTGCCTCTAAAGTTTGTGTTTCAGCAACCATGTCAAAATGACTTTAGTCTAAACATTGGTCAAGGAGATTTTACTTAGGGTCTCCCTAAAACCTCCTTGGTCTAAATGATGAGATTTCAGCCTTGTCATAACATTTATTTTCATAATCATTGTCATAAATATTTTCCAGTGGTGATTACAGCAATGCTTTGGCCCATTATGAAAAAGGCATCACACGAATACCCGAGGTGAGTACATTTTGTAACCACTGACTTAGTGTAGAGCTGTTTAATTTTGTCATCGGCCATCCCGAAATTGCCTTGGATGCCTTAAATTGTAGGCTGCACAGCTCCAACTCTATTGTATGTGGACAGACAATACAATATATACAATCCATATAGAATACAACACGGTGTATTCCGTATCGCCCGAGGTACCAGCCTGACCGCGGGTCGGATCACCCGAAGGCCAGAGGGAGATCCGATCCGTGGGAGGGCTGGGACCAAGGGTGATGCAGAATACACAGTGTTTTATTTTATTTATGTCATACCACCCAAGAAAACACGCCTTTCAATGCAAAATGAGCCAAACTTGTGTCCCTAAACCCAAAAAATGCAACAACATCAATTCCAACGTCCAAATTTTTCGAAAGCAGTTCACGCGGTTAGGGGGAAACGCGTTCAAATCGTTCTATGGAACATTTAGAAGTCCCGGGTCGTACGCGTAAAGAACCCCCGGGCCGTATCGCTAGTTATCACATGGGCCGGAACACCCGTATCGAACGTAATCGCAGCCCAGGTATGACATAAATTGTAGTATCAGGCCAGCATGTTGAAGTTTAACTAACTGCCATATTTATATGCACATTCTTACAGTATCGTGACCATGATGAGGCCTGTGCTGCTGGTATTGCCAGGATGTCTATCAGAATGGGAGACATCAGAAAGTGAGTAACATTTTGACTTTGAACCACGAAAATAAAAGTATGTCTACTGAGAAAAAACTGCAATTAACAGTATACAAAAATGTAACTCTTACATCTGTGTCCATAATATCACCAGGGTCCATAATATCACCACCTTGAGAAACAGTGTGCTTAAAGAGATTTTTACTGCAACATACTTTTGGTATGCACTCCTGCACACCTCAAATGTACATACCTAGGGTATGTTGCAGTAAAAATATCTTTAAGCACACTTTTTCTCAAGGTGGCGATATTATGGACTATGGTGATATTACATGTATGGACACAGATGTTACATGATGTTTATCATAGAAAGGTGTCAATTTAATTGTTTGTAACCTGATAAACCCACAGTAGTGCTGCTGTTTGCAGTGGCCAAAATGTATTTTAATTGTATTGACCTTGATGACCCTTCCACAGAGGGGTGAGTCTGGCCATGAAGATGCCCAGTAGGACTCTGAAGAAGGACTGTGCTGCTATCTTGGAGAATATGAAGGTAAATCAAAGTGGCTGATGTTACACTCTTACTCTCCAAGCAGAGGTTTACATACATGTAGGCTTTGGCATATTTTTGACAGTTTTTAGATCTTCGGGTAGCCTATTGGATACTATTTGCTAGTCCTGTCTTGCCAATTTAATGAATATAGTTGCTGTAAGTTGTAACTGTCTTGCCAATTAGACAAAGTGTCTTGCCAATTTGATACTGTCTTGAAGCTACCAAAAGATCTGCTTGGAGATTAACCCAATCTGGAAGGTATACAATGATCAGCAAAGTAAAGTAGGTCATAGATCAAGCTAACAAACCAACTAGTGCCCAGAATGTGGGAGTGAAAGGCCAGCTCTTGATTCCTGCTGCCAGGTTACTAGCTATCCTGCTGGTGAAGTCACAGTGAGTTGAGAACCTGGGGAAATTATTATTTTGAGAAGCAAACATTATAATTATGATTACTGATTCTCAAAGTAATATTTTTCACCAAGTTCTAAACCAGTTCCCATGTTCTTTGTAATGTCACTAGCGGGATAGCTGACGTCTAATTAAATTACCTGGCAACAGGAATCAAGTCAGAGCCACCAAAGCTTAGTGTTCAATACTATCAATAAATCTTTTATTATGTTCACTGATTTACAGTATTTTTTGCAGATGATGAGAAAATGTTGTATTTTGGTATGGAATGTATTAAACTTGTTGTTGTGTGTCACAGCAATACTCGGAGTCAGCAGTCCTGTATGAGAAGGGAGGGTACTTTGACAAGGCTGCATCTGTCTACATCCGCAGTAAGAACTGGTATGTACAAACTGTCATGGATTGAAATGTAAATTAAACTTCTTTTTTGTCAAGGGCATGTATAAAATGTACATTGTAATACTAGTGTATGACTTCTTAATATTGAAACATTCTTACTATTTATTTTTGATTCTGTTTAATGCTTATGCTTGCATGCGTACACATGGATTTTTGCTGCATTGTTGTTATCAGCTACATGTATGAAGTGGAAACGAAATAATGTATGATGCATGCTTTTAAATTCTGAGTGGTGCAGGTAAAATTTGTCTTGTGCAGGTGATTTTGAACTGGCACAATAGCTCAATTGGTAGAGTGCTCGCTTTGTAACCGGAAGGTTGTGAGTTCAAACCCCGGCCGGGTCATACCAAAGACAAATACAAAATGGTACACACTTCTTTCTCTGCTTAGCACTCAGCACATGTACAATGTATGAGAAAGAGTGTGGGAAGGTCAATCACACAGCACTACCAGTGGACTAGCCCCCTGCTGTAGTGCCTTGCACAACTGTGTGTTGCCCAAGGGCTATGGAAATGGAGATGGGCACCACCCCTATGCTCTGCATAGAGTGGAATGGGACCTTTTTTTTTTTTAGGTGATTTTCAATATTACCTTCACCAGTGCAGGTATGTAGAAGAAAAGTATTTTGAGCCCTGCTAAGGGAGTCTACTGGTTTTTTTTTCCCACCAGGGCAAAGGTTGGAGAACTTCTACCCCAAGTCAGCTCCCCCAAAATCCATGCACAGTACGCCAAGGCTAAGGAAGCTGAGGGGCGCTACAAGGAGGCTGCACTGGCTTATGAAAGTGCTAAGGACTTTGATAATGTCATCAGGTAATGTCTTTGTTGAAGGAAGTTATAACAGGGTGGCTAGGAAAAATGTTTAAGTATGAGAAAGTAACAAAATGACTGCTTTATGTGGCACACTTAAGTTATTGTCAAGTAAATACATTCAAATTTGAACACAGTGAAAATATTTGCAAAGTTTAACGTCTTAATTTTATGGATGACATCCTCTGAAGACCCCCAAACTAGTACGCACAGGTGAATGAAAAAATAAAAATGCTACTAAACCACAGGAATACAAAGCTGGTAATTGTGAATTAACGACATATACGACAGGCCGGCACATGCAAAGTTTTGAATCGGCACTGTACGTATGTACTGAGCTTCGGGTGCCGTCCTCCAGAGTTATCACCGGCTCCCTATTGTCACTAACTAGCATGGACTACCCAGGCCTAGAGCCAGGCCAGAGCTTCAGAGGACGTGATCCTTTTTTTTTTTGAGAACAGGCAAAAATCAATGCGCACGCAGATGTCATCCATAAAATTAAGTCAGTGTGGCCTAACAGAAAAAAACTATGATAGTTGATCACATCTATTCAATGATTTAATGTAATGATAGTAAATCATATTAACAGAGGTCTTACATGTACATAAGTTGTCTAGTAGTTTTGGTTTATAAGAAGCTGAAATGTGTTGATGATCTGTTAAATAAGCGAAATTTGGAAAGTTTTCACTGCTGATGTAAGAGTTGACTGAAGTCCTGCCTCTCCCAGGATCCAGTTAGATCACCTGCACAACCCTGAGGAGGCTGTCAAGATCATCAGGGAAACCAACTCTCAGGAGGGAGCCAAGATGGTGGCCAGGTAACTTCTCACCTTTTTAACAACCTTGTCCGATGAACACAAACCATTACATTGTATATAAAGAATACAGTCAAGATATGTGGGGTCGTGTGGCGTAGCGGTAGCATCTTCGGCCCAGATTCGAGAGGGCGAGGGTTCGAATCCGACCCGATGCCACCGATCTTGTGTCCTTGGAAAAGGCACTTAACACGACTTTCCTCACTTCACTCAGGTGAAAATGAGTACCTAGTTTCGGTTAGGGACGTCCCTCGGAAAGGACGTTAAATGAAGGTCCCGTGTTTGGGGAGAGCCACACCCCACGCACGTTAAAGAACCCACCACACTTATTGAAAAGAGTAGGGGACCTTCCCAGTGTGAGTGGTTCAAACCTTACAGTCTGGTCTCGGGGTTGACATCTTTGAAAAGGTGATAGTCACCTGTTATGTCAATTCTTCCACAAATGTGGTAAATCGTCAAAAAAAAAAAGATGATAACAGAAGGTAACATTGGCAAAGCAAAATTAATTAAGGCATTATGTTTACCTTCACATGGTCTAGCCTAATAGACCACTGCTCTGTTTATTCTTACTCAAACACATTCATGTACTAAGTCTTGTATATACATGTAGTGCCCCCAGCTCTGTCCTGATACATAATGAAACCAAATACCACAGGGTGTCTACTACAGGAACAGTTACCATGGTGACAGACCTGGTCTGGTTCAGGTCATAGACCTTATGTGTTTGGAGAAGAAGAAGAAACTGAGCAAAAACAATATGTTTTCCTTCTGCAAAGGTGAACATAAATATGGAGGTGAGAAGAGTAGTGACAAATGAGGAGATAGGAGACAGTAGTCAGGTTTTGGATGAAAACTTGAAGTTTTGTCTTGTGTTTTCAGGTTCTTCCAAAGACTGAATGACTTTGGATCAGCCATCCAGTTCCTTGTGATGTCCAAATGTAATGATGAAGCCTTCCAAATAGCACAGCAGCATGGTCAGATGGAGGTGTATGCAGATATCATAGGTACATTATTCTGTGATCAATATCATTCGATATTGCTGCACAGTCATATGCATGTAAAAGCAACGCTCAAAATGAGTTGACTATTCAAACTTCTACAATTTATCCCAATTTCTCTAAACTTACAGACCAAGAAAAAACTATAATTCTTCTTTCAACTTCCCAAAACCCACAAATTTTGGAAAAGGTGGGACGTTACGTCTTCCATGGTTTACAGAAGAGAAGTCAAATCCTTTAGACATAGTTTTGACATAGTTATAGTTCTAGACAGCTACCTTTATCATGTAGACTTAAGTTATTTTATACTCTGCTTCATTGCTGTCTTATGTTTTGTAATTTGCAATTAGCCTCCGGGCAAGAATTAGCAATGAACTTTTCATTATTTAAAGGTTAACACAATATATGCATGAGTTGCATCAGCCTGTGTAAGGGTATGTCAACCGGTAAGGGGCGGTATAAACCAGATTGAGCTGGGTTACCCTGCTAGTCAGCCTACTACAAACAGCCTCCAGTTTAATTCTGGACGTCCAGTTTAATTCCAGACTACTTCCCGTATCTCAGCAACCTTACATCTAGATGGGCTAATATTGTAACCTATAGGTAAAAATGATGTAAGAAATATGTAGACATAGCAGCCATTGAGGACCCCTTGGGGGTTAACCCAATTCTGCAGAATTCTACAGAATTCTGGGAACTTGAGCCAAAATTTTGTGCGGAATTCTACAGAATTGGGTTAACCCCCAAGGGGTTCTCAAAGGCTGCTATGTCTACATATTAGTCCATGGGCCAGACAAGGTTTTGTTACCAAATCAAGGGACAAAACGCGAATGCCTTCATGTGATAGTCCTTCCCACAAGCTTTTTGAAAATGTATGATAACCATGTTAAGTGCCCAGCTTGGACCTTGTTATCTGACCTTGAACTTTGACCCCATGGGGACCATTTCCTTTCCTACTTATAATGCAAAGAGGAGTGTCAAATAATCAAATATGGATATTTTCCAACGTTACTTGGTGGCCAGATAAAACAGGAAAAAGGATTACAAAAATGTCAATTTTGTTCCAATATGTCATTTCTAAGAGAAGTTATGAGCTTTTGAAATTCCATTTTTCTGTAAAAATTGGTAAAAAAATGGAATGTTTACTTTTCAAAACCTGTCAAATATACAGATTGCATTTTTACCAATTTTTATCAAGTCATCCTTTGTCCCTCTGTTTGGTAACAAATTGTCATTTTTGGGGACCTGGCCCATGGACTATATTTCTTGCATTTTTTTTAATAAGAGTTTACGATATTAGGCCATCTAGATGTAAGGATGCTGAGATATGGGAATTAGTCTGGAATTAATCTGGAAGCCCAGAATTAAACTGGAGGCTGTTTAACAGTAACTACAATTATTTTTTATAACTAACTTATATCATCCCCGGGCCGCGATAACGTTCCATAACGGGGTTCGGACCGGGTCTTACTTTACGGTACGGCCCGGTCCGGAACCCATTATCGAACGCTTCCATGGCTTCCATAAAATGATTCGAACGTGTTTTGCCCTAACCGCGTGTGCCCCTTTCGAAAATTCGAATACAGAATCTGGATGTTGGAATATTGATGTTGTTGCATTTTAGGGTCTAGTGGCACCAACTTTTGGCTCATCTTGCATTGAAAGGTGTGTTTTCTTTGGTGGGTATGACATAAATAAAAAATATAACTGTGGTGTATTCGGCATCGCCCTCGGTCCCAGCCCTCCCGCAAGTCAGATCTGGCTGATACCTCGGGCGATACAGAATACCCCGTGTTGTATTCTATTGTACTCTGTATAGTCCTCATGCAGTATGATGACTTGTTGACTTTGCCCACAGGTCCTGATGCTACCAATGATGACTATCAGAGCATTGCCCTCTACTTTGAGAATGAAAGAAACCACTTCCTGGCAGGAAAGTTCTTCTACTTATGTGGACAATATGGCAGGGTAAGGCATGAAAATAGATACACCTGTTCAGAATTCCAGTTTAATTCCAGACTGCTCACATCTACATTGGGCTAATATTGTACACTATAATATATAGGACTGGTAAAATGATGTAAGAAATATGTATAAATGTAGCAGCCATGCATTGAGGGCCCCTCAAGGATTAACACAATTCTGCAGAATTCTGGCTCCAGTTCCTAGAATGCTGCAGAATTTTGGCCCTAGTTCCCAGAATTCTGGCTTCAGTTCCAGAATTCTGCAGAATTGGGTTAATCCCCAAGGGGTCCTCAATGGCTCCTACATATTTGTAATGTATTTCTTACATCATTTTTACCAGTCCTATAGTTTACGATATTACGGAATTTAAGTCTGAAATTAAACTGGGAGAAAATACTACTAACAAAAAAGTATCAACTATTCGCACAAGTCAATCGTCTATAGCTTATAATTACGTACTTAAGTTTGATCAACGTCTTCTAACACTCTACTGAACAGCCTTCTTTGTTAAGATAAAGATTTCAAACTAGGTCTTTTACTACTAGTGAGAAGATCATTGATAAACATTTATTTATTCATAAATATTATAATTAACATCTTCAAAGGTTAATATCATTTGGTGAAGGTATGAGGTCATGGAACTTATATGATACTGGAGCCTAAGAAATGCTATAAAGTTATTAGCTTCAGGACGATTTGAACTAAAGTGATGGTTTTTTTTCTGTACAGGCCCTGAAGCACTTCCTAAAGTGTCCCTCAGGAGATGACAGCCAGGCGATAGAGATGGCCATAGAAACAGTGAGTTGTCATAAACATGTAGCTTGTTTATATATTATTACACAGTTCTGTACACTCAGCCTCTTCTTAAATGCCAAAAAATTGTCCTATCATACAATATCATTATTAATGTCCCAGCCAAGGAGCACTCTTTCATGGTACAAGTATCAACCTTCGGGTTGACACATGTACCTTCGACCCCACGTGGCGTAAGCTGGCACACTCTTTTGTGACATGCCTCTTCGCGTCTGAAAATGACATTATCCATCTGCTATGCCACTCCATTTTCTCATTAAGCCGACACTGGTCCTATACTGTCAGCTAGTTCTTCTGCCAGCATGCTTTTATGCTACATAATGTAAAGTTATTGTTGTATGTGAATGTAGACAATTTGTCTTCTTGTTTTTACTATGGGTCCTAGGCCTGATTCAAATAAATAAAGTAAATAAATAGATTGTGGACTCTTCCAGCACCCCTAACTATTTCAAGATCACGTCCGTCTGTTAAATATAGAGTTTTCCTAGTCTTACATTGTGCCAATTCTATCAGGTGGGAGCTGCGAATGACGACACTTTAACTCATCAACTGATTGACTACCTGATGGGAGAAACAGACGGCATGCCGAAGGTATGTAGTTTTACATATCCACCATATATATATAGTTGTAGTTGTAGTCCGTACGAAAGTTGCTGTACTTCTGTTGTGTCAATAAAGATTGTTCACAGGTTACCACAGATGTTAAGGTAAAGTTCCTCCTGGCAATGTTTCATTTTTTCATTTCTTTCTTAATTGATATTTATCCAGGGTTTACATGTCACCATGTTGGCGATTTTCAATACTCCCTGCACATACTAGTATTGAACAAAACATTAACTATTAAAAGTAATATAATAAATGGCAAGGTATAGATTAACTAAAAGTACATGTTAATTATTCTGTCATAATAGTGAGAATCCTCAAAAATGATAAATTTAAAAGTTAAAGTAGTGCATCAAACAAACCGTTAACAAATTCAATAAAAGTCAATAATGAAGACAATGAAAACTGACATTGCATATCAATGATAATTGTAAACACAATTTTACATTTATTAACTAACAATTTAAATTTAACTTATGCTTAAAGAATCACGAAGTACGTGTAGTAACAAATCAGTTAGGAACTGTATTAAGATGGAATGAAAATGAAATTTCTGATAATTACTTTTTCCCATTGCCTTCCACAGGATGCCAAGTACCTGTTCCGTCTGTACATGGCACTCAAACAGTTCAGGGAGGCTGCCAGGACTGCCATCATCATCGCAAGGGAGGAACAAAATGCTGGTAGGTACCTTTCAGCACCTTCTGCATTGAATTTTCTCTTTCCTGTACCACTACTGGACCACTGTGAGATTTTGATTTGATTTTGATTTGAAATTGCAACAGTCCAATTCACGCGGAACAGAGGCAGCTGTTGCTGATGTTGTGTCCCGCACATAGAAACGAATACTGGACACTCAGACACTTCAGCACCTTCTGCATTGAATTTTCTCTTTCCTGTCCCACTACTGGACCACTGTGAGATTTTGATTTGATTTTGATTTGAAATTGCAACAGTCCAATTCACGCGGAACAGAGGCAGCTGTTGCTGATGTTGTGTCCCGCACATAGAAACGAATACTGGACACTCAGACAATACTCATTTTCACTTGAGTCTAGTGGGGAAAGTCGTGTAAAGTGCCTTTCCCAAGGGCACAAGATCGGTGGCATGTCAGGACTCGAACCCGGGACCCCTTGATTCCAAGTCGCGCACCCTGCCCTTGTGCCACACGACCCCACGATGTAGATGACCTACATGTACTAACTTTAGTTTGTTGTTTTGTACAGGGAACTACCGTAATGCCCATGACGTGCTGTTCAGCATGTACACAGAGTTACGCAGTCACCAGATCAGAATCCCGTCAGAGATGGCCACCAACCTGCTGATCCTGCACAGCTACATCCTGGTCAAGGTCAGTCAGTGTTTATCACAGCTACATCCTGGTCAAGGTCAGTCAGTGTTTATCACAGCTACATCCTGGTCAAGGTCAGTCAGCATTTATCACAGCTACATCCTGGTCAAGGTCAGTCAGCGTTTATCACAGCTACATCCTGGTCAAGGTCAGTCAGTGTTTATCACAGCTACATCCTGGTCAAGGTCAGTCAGCACTTATCACAGCTACATCCTGGTCAAGGTCAGTCAGCATTTATCACAGCTACATCCTGGTAGCATTTATCACAGCTACATCCTGGTCAAGGTCAGTCAGTGTTTATAGGACAGGTAAAGTCCTGCACTTTCAACAAACATTGTAAAATGTAAAATGTTATATTATTGAACTAGAAATTTTGCAAAGCAAATGCATAAAATGTTTACCTTCACATAATATGGTCTGCTCAAACACATTCGTATATATCGTCAGACAGGAACCTAAATCCCTCCTGCTGTAAAATTGCACCATGATGATATAACGCAGCACTAGTTACCATGTTAACAGACAGTCTGGTTCAGATGGTTGACCTTTTTGGCTTGGAGAAGAAGAGGAAACGTAACAACATACAAATAAACATACAGATAAACTTTAGTTATGAGAACGAATAAACAAACAATATTAATGAACTTTATTGCTGGACCATTATACATGGTGCAAGTTGACAGTTTTGAATATGAAGTTTTCTGCCTTACTGCATTGTTTTTCTTGTCCACAGATCCATGTGAAGAAAGGAGATCATAAGAAAGGAGCCCGGCTGCTGATCAGAGTAGCCAACAACATCAGCAAGTTTCCTTCTCGTAAGTGTCTTTGTCAGGATCACTATACATGACTTTTTTTTTGTACATGTACAAAGTACAATGTAGTTCTGGTACTGATCGGTTGTTTAAAGTATCTGTGTCTGCATGTATAGCTTGTATAACCACCCTTTGGCGTAACACACCAGCATTGCAGGCACGCGGTGTGGCATCAGCTATATTACACTAAACAACCTGTTGGACCTAATCTTTATACAATTTAACTGAGTTGTTTAAAGCTTTCTAGTGATAATGCCCCAACTGTACTTGGTGGCAGCAGGTTCTACAAATGTATTCTATAAGTTTTTTAACACCTCAATTCTTAGTGGATAACTCTGGTATTTGAAGGCATGACTGTTTTCTGTTCTTTTCTGGGCTGGTACCAGAATGCACCACATCCACAGTTTACTAGTCATTTTGTACATCATGCATAGTCTAGACATTTTAAGTACAGCTAAATACTATTCTATCACAGTGACATGTTTTTACATGACTTAATTGTATCAGTCTCCTCAGTCCTTTGGACTTCTGTAACAGATTTTATCATAGCATGAAAGTTCATCTGTGTTGGTACAGGTCATTATGAAATAAAGACTAAGCTTTAACTTCCAACACTTAGATTACAGAATTGGGACTTACCCAAATTTTCGGTTGACTCCATCAACCTTGTTCCCGGAATGGACCCGTCTACTCTTGGAACGTGACGTCAGAGACACATGACCGTAGTGGCGGGTCATACATGCCAGATAATGTTTAGGTTTTTATCATGTACATGTTTCAGACATTGTCCCAATCCTGACATCCACCGTGATTGAGTGTCATCGTTCTGGATTACGTAACTCGTCCTTCAGCTACGCAGCCATGTTGATGAGGCCAGAATATCGCAACCAGATCGACCTGAAGTACAAGAAGAAGATTGAGGCTATTGTGAGGTGAGAGAATGACTGTATCTTCACAATGTGCTCCTTAACATATGTAACTATCAGTCTGAGATTGAAAATGGATCAGGATGAAAATAAAGACAGCTGATTGTTTTTTTTGCCTTTCAACTGTAGAAATTCTGCTCTTGTTTGGCATTACCTGATTATATAATTAATATTGTTTGGCATTACCTGATTATGTATTATATACTAACTATCTGTACTGGTATAGGTATTAGCTGGTATAACCGCCTTTCAGCGTAACACACCAGCTTCGCACTTACGCGACGCGGCGGCAGCTAGCTACATTACACCGATCGATTTGTTACACCTAACCCTTGAACTTCTAACTCTAGACATTGTTTAAACCTAATCTAATGATAATGCCCCTACTGTACTTGGTGACTGCGAGTTCCACTCTGCAATAGTTCTAGGAAAGAATGAATTCTTGAACACCTCAATCCTTGGTTGATAACTCTGATATTTGAAGGCATGGCTATTTCTTGTTCTCTTCTGGGCTGGTATTACAGTTAGGTACTTAGTAGTTGGGACGTCCACCAGTTAATTAGGCATTTTGTACATCATGCAATATAGTCTGGACATAACTGTTTATTTTCTGTGTTGTCCAGGAAACCTGATAAGACAGAGGAGGAGGAGCCGACAGCCCCGTGTCCTTTCTGTGATTTTGCCCTGCCTGAGATGGACCTAGTCTGCCCTGAGTGCAAGAACAACATTCCCTACTGTATCATCACTGTGAGGGGGATATAGTTTACTCAGTCGTTTTTTGGATATCAAGATATCAATTGTTTTTTTATTACAAAGAACTTTCAAATTGTTAAATGTCCTGCTGTTTATTGTTGTTCAGGGGCGCCATCTAGTGAAGGATGACTGGACTGCATGTCCCAGCTGTGACTTCCCTGCTCTTTTCTCAGAGTTTAACAGGTAAGCATGACAATGTGCTAATTGTGAATGTCTAACAGAAACCCTGCAACAGGTACATGTATCGAAAAAGGTCCATTGTGTTTCAATGAGTAAGTGTGGTCCACTACTTATCAAGAGAATTAGAAAGAAATATGTTCATAATTTGCCAGAATGTACCTTACATTGTAATTAGGTAAACCAGCAAACATCCAATTTCTGTTTTCATAACAGTATTGAATAATATTATCATGTTATTACCTCCGGGAGAGGAGACATCCTTCCGCAGAAGGGTTTTGTGAGAGATTTAGATTTTCATGTTCGCAGCTGTTTCTCGCGTTTGGGTGGACGGATTCTTTTGAGACTTGGTATATCTTTTGCTATTGGGCTGCAGATGATGCATGTTCTTTTGTTTTTATTGTATATGTGTTTTCGGGTGTGAAAATGGTGCCTTTTGGTGGCCCCAAAACACCCCTTTAAGTGTGAAAGTGGTCGCGACCGTTGACCTTTGGCGTGTTTAAGCTATTCTCAGTCTGGTCCACGTATATGACCCCTCACACAGAGGGGTGTCCGGTCTCGATAAATTCTTTGTTTAAAACCGTATATAAAAATATACAATAAAAAGCCCGGAGGTATAAAATCTCAGATTTTACTTGTTCTATAAACTGTAACATACTGAAAAATGAGGGACGGTATTGTTTTTGGTCAGTCTATTTGTTTGTACCTTGTATACTAATGCTGGTCTTCTGTTGTTTTCAGTCTCCTGGAGACAGAAAGCACCTGTCCCATGTGTTCTGAGAAGCTGACTGTGGACAAGCTGAAGAAAATAGCCGACCCGAGTCCATATCTCAAGGTGGATGAGCGGGAAGACTGATGGGCAGTGGAGGCCAGGTCTGGAGATAACTTGTGAAGGCTGACATTATAAAATAAAATCATTCACCTGTACACATATATTACAGTACACTTCTGGGTGTCTCTGTCAGGGTTCTAGCCAGCTCAATTTTTTTTCTATCAGCCCAAGTTCGTGATTGAAACTGGGGGGACAGTGCTCACAATGTAGGGGGATGGGGTCCGTGGGCAAATTTTGTCTTTTCAAGCCTTAAAAAATGCAATTTCTCACATTTTGAAATACAAATCATGGGGGTGAGAGTGATTGTCAATGGTCCTTTGGATGTTTTTTTGGCAATTTTGTTTGTCATGATTGACAGATTGATTATTAAGAAAATTTCACACCACAGAAAAAAAGGTGCTGGCTAGAGCCCTGGTCTGTGTGTATAATCGTGTACAAGGGCTGTTCAATACAGACTTCCCCTAACCCACCTCCCGTAACAATGTAGAAGGCTGCATACTGTATGTATGATCTGTAGGTCACATGCCAATTTTCATTTCTGAAAAATTAGTACAATGTTGAACACTTACTGTATTCCGACATGAGGACAAAGATCAAGGCTGTCGTTGGAAGTTTCTCAACCTATCTACATCAATTAATCCTCGTGGGCATAACGTTACCGCAAGGACGGACGGAGACCATAAAGATAAACACTTTGACAGTACTCAACTCAAAACTCACTTTATTCTTAACGTACCCTGATCGATTTTAAAACGTTGTGGTCACTTTATTCTTAACGTACCCTGATCGATCTTATAACGTTGCGGTTCTAAGAATACCATCAATCTTAACGTTGCCGTTTGGACGTCGAGCGGACACTAAAGTCGTCGTTCCAACGTACAAACAGCTTAACGGCTTTCCTTCAAACATATTTCGTTTCATTTCGTCCATTTCGTTCCATTTCGCACTTTCTGTGCACCATATCAAACCATACCATCTCATCCCATTGGACAAATTTTAAAGTTAGAATACTTGACACTGAACAGGATGGTCACACACAAGCCATCACTTAATAGAGACGGTGGATGATATAAACTCCCTGGCACGTTTGGTCAATTGCTGACGTCACGTACATGTATCCGTAAAGTCTCACTGTACATGGCACTGTATTGTGCAGTGTTAGCCTCTTTCAAGAAATACAGACAGAGAAGGGATAAGCCCTTTATAAGACTAGTGCAAAAGCGCAAAATTATCAAATATTCATGTATTTGGTGTAATACTTTTGTTGAACACAAGTCACAGTATGTTGTACATATTAATAGATAATATTATGAATTATGTACTTTACAATGCTCAATGTGTAGTCCTGTAACAGTTGATATGTTAGGGAAAACTTTGAAGTTGGACCTGGAATTAAAAGCTATTCAGTATGACCAAAGAAAGATGCTAAATGATATCAAATACTCCCGTACTTGGTGTAATACTTCTGTTGAACATAAGTCACATTATGTTGTACATAATATTATGAATTATGTACTTGATAATACTCAATGTGTAGTACTGTTGATATGTTAGGGAAAACTTCGAAGAGTTGGACCTGGAATTAAAAGCTATTCAGTATGTAAGTTTAAATTGACCTAAGAAAGATGCTGAATAATATTAAGGCAAGATTCTGTCATTTGACATTGGAATTTCAGTTACATTCCGAGAGAAGTTAATGTAAGAGTTGATTAAGTGTTCTAAATTCCTGTTCTTGTAATTTAACTAGTGTTTTGCATGTTGTAAATTAATGTGACTGACTTTTGTACATTGTGATTGTCTCAGTTTGAATGAGCTGGTAGCCTCCACTGTTGCTCACATCATCATACTGTGTTCAGTAATGTCTGGAAGTTAAGACTAAAAGATCTTAGATCATAATGTTTTTTTTATTAATAAGAAGTAAAAAACAACATTTAATTTAGATTACTGTATGTATATGTGATTTGAGTAATGTACCATGAGTGTAAAAATGTGAGAGTTGTTCTTTAAGTGTGTTGAGTTAAAGAAAGCATTATTCAGTGTGTATGCAAATCATATTACTTATTGTAGGTGATGTGCTTAAGAAACTGTTTTGTTGTTGTTTGGTGTGAATAAATTGAGATTTCTGTTCATGCAAGAGTCCTCCATATCCAACATAAGGCAACATAACTTAATATCGAGTTCTAGCAACATCTTTTTCTAATATTCATACATGAACATTCACCCAGCACTCTGAAAGAACTCTGGCAGACATATTGCCATAAGGCCACACCAATTTAATTTCTTGGTTAACGGATTTTTCTAGAAAAATACTGGAGCGGGCGGGCCAAAAAAGATAGAAATAAAAACAGGCCTAGGCATCTTATTATGGCCCCAAATGGTACAATAGGAGCCATGAAGTCAACACACCAGGCTGGTTCAAAATTTAAAAAATGAATTTTGAACTTTTAATGACACAACTGCATTGAAAGATAAAATAACTGTAACAACTAGGAAGAAAGGTACTGTTTTCAACTGTTCATGGTAAAATATTGAGCATTTTGTAGTTGTTTCTGATTTTTTTTTGCAAACCCAAAAAAACAATGAAGCGGGCGAATTCGTTAACCAAGAAATTAAATAGGCATATATAAATATATATATATATATATTTATAGTGATATATAGACTTAACTAGTGATTTAGCAAACTTAACACTGGGCTCATCTAGAGATGTTAGGCCACCCAGACGAAGTGCAGAACTGTGTACGTAGTTGGTGTACATGCATGCTACCAAGAATGATGCGAGGCCGTTGCTCCCAACTCGAGCTTGCCAAATTAATAAACACATTTCTCCTTCAAGTTGGTAATTTCTCATTTGCCGAACGATTTTCCTCGCGGTGCAAGATTTTGCACACCAGTGTTCCAGTGATTACCCGCACACCGTGC